GAGGGGCTGGTGGTTGTCAGGTTCTCATCGGAGTATTCTTTTCTGTAAGAAACTTGACAAATAAAATGATAGGAGCTCTAGGAATATAGCTCTGTGTTAAAATGTTTGTCTAGCATGTGTGAGGTCCAAAGTTCAAATCCCAGCTCCGCACAAGCCAAAAAATGATAAGGATTTTGCTCAAAGAAAAGTAAAATTTCTTCTACTCTTGGAACTGAAGCATGCGATCCCATGGTTCATTTCCTCCCTTATCAGCTTGCATAGTATCTTGTAGAACTCTGATTGCTAGTCTTCGGGAAGGAGGCTCTCAGGACAGTTCCAGTTCCGTTAATCCAAGTCTTGTGTCCAAAGTATGTTCTGTTTTCAGCAGTAGGGTCTTACCTTCAAGTTCTGGGAGGTAATCAAGGACTGTGACAATACCTGTGTTACAGAGTTGCACAACTGATCACACATAGAGACTGTATGTCTGAGGGATTCCCAGGCCTGTGACATATCTATGGTAGAACCTGAGGCTCATGGAACATAGTGTAACATTGAACAGAGTATTAATACATCCCAAAACTCTAAACAGTGACGCTTGTCAGGTCCCATAGAAGGTCTTAACTCATAAGGATGCCCTCATGATGATCATGCCACAGACCCAACCAAGAGTTTAATCCCAGCACTTGGGAAACAGATGGAGGTGAATCTCTGTGAGATCAAGGTCAGCCTGGTCTACACAGTGAATTCCTGGCCAGCTGAGCTATGAAGACCTTCTATAGAAAGAGGAAAAAATAAAGGTTATTAAAAGATCCAAGAGAGATGGTGTTGGCTGGAGAGATTGCTCAGTGGTTAAGAGCACATATTGTTCTTGCAGAAGACCTGGGTTCGAATACCAGCACCCACATGGTGGCTAACAACCATCCATACCTTCAGTTCTAAGGAATCTGACATCATTTTCTGTCTTCTGTGGGCACCACATGACACAAGTGCACTTACACACATGCAGGCATAACACTCATAAAACAAAAATAAATTAATAATTTTTAAACCATTTTAAAGCTGCAAGAGAGAAAGATGTAGTCACTTATAAAGACAGGCCTATCAGAGTAACCAATAATTACTCAGTTAGACTCTTTTCAAGCCAGAGGTCCCAGAAAGATGTATCCTAATTTCTTAAAGACAACAATTGTGAATCCAGACTATTACAAATGGAAAAGCTATTATGGTTGAGGCAGAAGCTCAAGCAAGAAAAAATCCCAGCACAGACCAGGGGAAGAACCCAACTCTAGCTGAGAAACTAGTGGAAACCTATGGCTTCTGGGAAGGGGAGTCAGTCTCTGTTAAGGCTGTGAATCTTCGTAAGTAAACCAGGTCCAGTGGATGAAAACACAGAATGGCCTCAGCACGACAACCACCAGCAGACGTGCAATTGTACAAAACTAAACAGACAAACGCTGGAGCTCAGTAGCATTAAAAATGAAAAGGACCTAGAAGACATCTAGAGAACATTCCACTACACGCTAAAGAGAGCAAAAGCTTCTGCCTTTTCTTCACATCCCGAAAGAAACTAAAGAAACTCTTCGTGTTGGCCAATGGAAAATTGAAGAGATGTTTTTTCAAAAACAAACAAGAGAGAAAAACCCTTAGTGAAATAAAAAAAGAAAAAGAAAACCAAATTAATAAACTAGAAATGAAAGGGGAACATCCTATTGAGTATCAATAGAATTCACAACATCATAAGAACCTATTTATAAGCCTCTGTTCCACAAAACAAACAATCTAAAGGACAAATTCCAAGATGCATAAAACATAACAAAACTAAAGCAACATGAAGTAAATAATGTGAACAGACCTATAACTAGCAAGATGACTGATCTAGGGAAGAAAAGGCTGCAAGTGAAAAAAATTGGCATGTATTTACACATATATGAGGTCATGCCATTCATAAGTGTTGGAACAATATCAAAGTTGAAAGTGACAGACAGTAATTGTGAATATATATAGGACATTATAGGAAGGTTATATGATTTTTGTAAACATGATAACAGATCAAATCAAACTAACCAGCATTCACAGCATTTCAATCGTGCTGGTAACTATTTGTGGTAAGAACATTGAACATTTCCTCCTGCACATTTTGCAGTGTGAGCACCTTCCTGATGGTCTCTGTGCAGAATGCATCACTAACTGCTGTTTCTCTCGTGCAGACAGAACTTCACACTCCTCCATCACCATTGTTTCCTCTCTACATCCCTGTGGTGGTCACCTTTGTATTTGGTTTAAAAACCATCATCTTTCTGAGAATTCAAATATAAGGGTGACACATCACCTGTGTTCAGGTTTCTGGGTACTTTCACTAAGCATACTGTCTCCTAATTCCGTCCATGCGGTTATGAAGGGAAAACATATTTCTATTTAAAGAACATTTTTCACTCTTTGCACATGCTGGCTTCTACTGTTCATCTGGTGATGGACATTAATGGGAAATAATGCTGAAAATTTTAAAATCGTGCAGATCACTCCTAAATACAATTTTAATTTCAGTTGAGTATGTACCAAGAAGGGAAAGGGTGCCCAGAGAGATAGCTCAATGGTTAAGAGCAATGACTGTTCTGCAGAGGACCTGGCTTCATTCTTAGCACCCACATAACAGCTTACAAACATCTGTAAGGACGGAGCCAAGATAATTCTACACTCCTTTCTGACCACAGACATTGCACAAAACAGGCACATTTACACACACATGGGCAATACACTCATATACGTAAAATAAAAATATTTTTTTTAAAAGGGGAATGGCTGCATCACATAGTTCCTTTGATCAGAAATCTTTGAGGAACCTGAACTAATTCACATTTCCTTCACCACATACGTGGCTGCCTTTAATTCACATCCTGATGGAGACTGGTTTCTATTCCTCCTTCTGGTAAAGGATCATAAGGCGACGTCTCACTTTCCTTGAATTTCCACTTCATTTGTGATTAGAAATGCGAACATTTGTGCCATAGAGTTGCTGATGCACATCCTTTTGTTTCCTAATATGCTATGCTCTTTCACGGGCTATAAATCAGGTTATCAGCATTCTTATATGCAGTTGTTTCTATGTGTAGATACTTTACAAAGTAGTCTAATATGAGTAAATAGAAATTTTGGAAACCTGAAATTTATTCCAAATAACGAGGAAACCCCCAAGAAATTAGTATATCACAGATTCCCATAATAATTCTAA